GTGTCAGGTCGTCATCAAGATTATCGATGGTGGGTGTTAGATTCTCTCCCCCTGTTCGGACACCCTGGGATTGATGGCAAAAAGTGTGCATAATTATGAATTTTGAAGAGGCGAATTTTAGTGATTTTAAGCGGCTCGTCGTGACCTTGAAAATCAGCTCACAGAAGTATAATTGGCCTCAAAAGACTTTTAAAACCCCTGAGCAAAACATTTCCAGGCTCAAACTGGAGTGTTATCATGATGCGCACTGAAAAGAGAGAAGTTTATGATAAGGTATGAGTCACTAAAGTTTGAGTGTTTTCCACCAGACGTGGGGCCGTAACGAATTTGTGATTCTTCAGCAGGTTTAAAAAAATATTTCAAGAAAAAAATCCCACCACGTTTCTAGGCTTACCATCTCTGGGCGAAATATGAAAAATTTTGATTTTTCATCATGCGCCACATATTTTCGATATGGCTCGGTCTTACTGGACATTCCCTCTTAAGGTAATTCCCTTTCTACTATCAAACTTTTGTTTTGAAACTTGGCATAATTAACATTCATGATATGAACATTAAAAAAATGCAATAAAAAAATGGGTTCACCGTGCTTGTTTACGCGTCAGCAGGCTCTTAAAATGAAGTATTTTTACTGGTTTCGCGTTAAAAATTCGAATCACCTTCATACAGAATTAAGTCTTGGTTAAAAAGACACAAAGTTTTATCTGAAAGTAAAGCTTCTTTTATTCACAGAAGCAGTATTGCTTCATTTACGCCGTTTTTGATTGCCTAGTTGTGGGAATATTGCACTTTTTCGGACAGTTCCGTGGTTAGCTTGAAGTCCTCGCCTTGGCCAAAATACACCCAGTACAGAACTATTTTCCAAAAAAAAAATTCATGCTCTACTATCAAACTTTTTTTCGTCCTCAGATATGTTCTCTACAAGACTGTTCTTAGCAAAAACCTGAAAAAAAAAATCGGGGGTCACCGAACTCGTTTGAGAGAAAAGGAGCATTTATTTCGCTCTCGAGCTTAGTTTGAGGGAAATCTCTTACGTTTTGCACGCGCACGAGCTCATGTGCGCGCGCTAATGACGCGAAAATCGTGCGCAGTAGGGATACGCAATGCAATACTAAGGAATTACTTTGAGTATTTTAAACATGTTGACCATGTTTTGCTTTTCGACTTACCTCGTCAAACTCTATACTTGTGCAGCTATTAGCTCTCAGGGCGTCCTCTATTTCCTGATTGGTAGGCTCCTTGGTCTTCAATGAAGTTGCATATGACAAGAAATTAAATAGTTACGCACAGAGATCTAGATGGAAATAATAACTAGAAGTCTTCTTGTTGTCTACTTTCAACATTATGACAGCAAATGGACTGATGAAGACATTAAGCCACATCTTAGAACAAATTATTAACAATGGGAAAGCGGATGAAATCCCGGTCCACTTTATTTGTAATTTCAATTTCAAGCTCATTCCACTGGATCAAGAGTTTCCGTACAACTCGGAACTACTCCAAGTGACTTGTGCAAAGGTAAGTTCGAGAACTTCATCGGTGGGTGGATCTTTGTATCCTTGAGGTATATTTCAAAGCTTAGATCTTAAGTACTCTAAGTGGGTACTGCTGTCGGTTATTATTGTCGGTGAATATAAGTCACTGCAAAGTTATCTAAGGTGTCTGATTTCGTAAGGTATTTCTTATGGAGACATTGCTTGAGTTTAATCCACTTGGCTTGTCATTTTGTATGAACAGGCTGGTAACCAAGCTTACGAATGGTGCAGAACTTCAGGTCCCGTCGACACTACGCCAGAGGAATTTGAAAACGAAAGTTTCACTCTGAAAACGCATCAAATGTTTTCCGTCTACACTGCGCCAGAGGAATTTTAAAACGCAATAATCACCGGTCATTTTGGATTTGTGTTTTCAAATTTCTCCGATTTGAAGGTTTCGCCGGAAAAGCCCCGTTCTCGTGACGGATTAGTGTGGACAGTAGGCTTAACCGTAGAATGAAAGCTACGTTTTCAAATTTCTCCGGCGTAGTGTGAACGCTGCCTTAGACATGCATGACATGCAGCCGACTTACCGAGTTTTTATTTGTAGTTATATTCTTGTTTGGGCTTTTCTCGTTGCCTGTAGTCATGTAATTGCTCTTGTTAGTAACTTTCGAGGTAGGTTTAATCACCTCTGGTGGAATACGTGGATCCGTATTTAACTCAACAATTAGGTTTTCCCTCGTTATGAAGTATGTTGAAGCAACTAGTTTGAAGTTTCCACTTGCGAGCATCTCATACACTGATCGGCTGTTAAATAAACTGTCACTGTCACGAAACGAAAAAATAAATCAAAAACTATTCATTGAATAAAATAAAGAAATTGTGATGTTACAGGAGATAGGTAAAGAAGACACTTCTCCAAGATTTGGGTCTCTGGGTTTTCCCAAACTTCAGATATTTGTCGAAATATTTTGCGCAAATTTAAAGAGCCCAGTATACACCTTTTTCCAAAATGGCCGCCATTTTAGTATTCTTTTGTTTACTTGAAAATGAGCCCTTGTTGCATCGTTTAAGGGAAAATATTCTTTTGAAAATCGAGTTTAAGAACGAGGCAACAAGGGCTAATTTGCAAGTAAATTAACAATAGAATACTTAAATGGCGGCCATTTTGGAATAAGGTGTATGGAGTGGCCATGTTGGTGGATCTCTGTGCTCCACCAACATGGCGGCCGGAAAATACTGTAAACATCTGGAACTTACTTTGGCTATCTAGGCGACTAATTCTCTGAACTGAACTAGCAAACATTTACACAAGCACTTTTCCTAACATTACAACTCCTGAAGAGGCTAAAAATCAACAGATAAGTGTATCTTTTTCCACAAACGCGATAAGAGCGGTATGTCACGCACCGCCATAACTCTGAACTTCAAACTGCGCCGGTTTCCAGACCTGAACGGGCGCCTACTGCAGATGAAAGTAGTATTTCAAACTAATTAACCAGCGATAACGAATTTAATAGTCTTTTTGCTCTAATTCTTAATATTCTAGTGCCCAGGGCCAGGTTCAGTTCAAAAACCTGTAAACGCTAAACCAGGATTAAGAGCCATTGCCTGTGAACATGGAGAATCCGCCGACAGGTCGGAAATTCGGATTTTCTTTTATTGCGTCAAAAAGACCCTTTTGGTGAACTATTTTCAGAAATATACTTTCAAAGTTCCAGCGAGTTCACATTTTTGTTAAATCTAGGAAGGTTCGAAATACCACACAATCAACCAAAATAGCCGATGGAATTTATTCAAAATTGCACATTTTCAACAGCACTGGAAAAGTTGAAAATTTACAGAGTATGTAAATAACATGTAATTAACATGTAAATAATCAAAA